TGTTTTTCTTTATTATTATTATTATTATTATTATTATTATTATTATTATTATTATTATTATTATTATTATTATTATTATTATTACTATTACTATTTTTTATTTGGTAGAGTGCATAGTCACACATCCCATTACAATAAATAACTTGATTAAACAAATTAAAAAAAAAAAAAAAAAAAAAATTTTTTTTTTTTTTTTTTTTTTTTTTTGTACCCGTGCTTTCAACTTCCTTCTTCTTTTTCTTTTTTTCTTTCTTTCCTTCGTGTCTGAACGTCTAGGTGGGAGGGTCTCATCTTTGGTATATACATATATATATAATATTGTTTCTCTGCATGAACTACGAAGAAAACTTATTATCTGGTTCTAGTAGTGGTGATTTCCGCACATCATCACCGCCTATCGTCCCTTTCACGGCTCGAGAATGTGGAAGTAGAGTGCCTGGCGAGTCCACTGTGGCAGGTTCTACGATGATGGGAAAGGATGGTATAGATTTAAACAACGCCGCACAAAGTTCTTTCCATAGATGTACTCTGTCGAGCACTCTGAGTGAATATACGCCATTTATTTCCCGACGGACTTCAGCCCCAGAACAAGAGAAACATCATCATCATGGCAGTGAAAACGGGGAAACTCGTAAATCAACCTTGACGGAATTACTTTTGACACCCTTTGAGAGTCCTGTTGCTGGTAATGACCCACGGCGGTTTCTTGTAACTCTTTCCTATTCGATGTTAGCCATAAGTAACTCCATGCAATGGGTAACGTTTAGTCCAGTACCTAATGAAGTAGAATTGTTTTTTCACACCACAGCAACAGAAATAAATTATTTGGCTTCTATCTATCTCATAGTGTACGCTTTTGCAGTGGTAATGAGTTGTAAAGCCATGGAGTCTGTTGGATTAAAAAAATCTCTTAATATTGCCGCAGTTTTGAATTTTATCGGTGCAACTATAAAAATTATCGCACTTTATGTATTTCCACGATCACCTTTACTTTTTTGCTCACAGATTATAAACGCCCTTGCACAAGTATTTATTGTTGCTCATCCACCAACCATAGCGAATCTGTGGTTCAACGACAAGTTCCGTACAGCAGCTAACGCTACAATGACTGCGGCCCAAAACGTTGGAATTGCAATAGGTGTTATTTTACCAACCTTTTTCATCTGCGGAAACAAAAACAGTGACAAGGATGATAGCAAATATATGCAGATACTCTATAAAGGGTTTGCTCAGTTTTTTTGGACACAATTAGCCATTGCTATAGTGGCTCTCGGTATGATGGTGTTTTTATTTCCTGTAAGGCCAAAATGTGCTGCGAGTCTAACAGCTTCAGAAGCTATTCAAAATGACCAACAACGGTCTCACCGTAATCGTCTAAACTTTCGTCAGAGAATAATTGAAAAAGATCTTCGTCGACGACGAGCCCAGCAAAAACGTCAGTCTCAGCGTGAAAAGGGCGGAACCACATTACCTTCAAACTTACCTTCACCTCCGGTAACAAGTGATATTGATGTTAAATCACCTTCTCATGATAGGTTGACATCATCTGTACAGGAAAACTTCTCTGACTCTTGTAATAAGTGGCAAAGTACTACTAGTACCACTAATAACAATACAACTATTGTTCCTTCAGTTTCTTATGCTTCTGTTAATAGAGAACTGTACATGCCATTACCTGACGATGATGAGATAGATGATAGTTTACATGAAGGTATTACTGAAGAGGAAAGGCTGCAACGTTCCCTTGTCAGCGCTGTAGCTGTGACTGTAGCAGAATCTTCCACCAATAATAGTACTCGAGAGTCCGGGTGTTATACTTCAGAAAATGATCTTGAAGAAGTTATTTTGGATCTTGAAGCTAAGTTAGGACGCATCCGTGAGGCGGAATTAAAATTTCCAAAGATAAATGTACTTGGTATCGTTCGTGATTCTTTTCGTGTAGTACGTGTAAATAGTAGTTTTGCATTTATGACTCTTTCTAGTTTCCTTCAGTTGGGTCTTGTATGGTCATTACCTACAGTGATTCCACAAATATTGTCACCTTTGGGAGTTTCAGAGAGTTTAGCTGGTTGGATTGGATTTGTAAACCTTGCCTCTGGTGCTATCACGGCGCCACTCCTTGCTCCATTACTTATTGGTAACCGAAATAATTATAAAGGTGCTTTGATTGGTTGCGTAGCTGTTCTTCTTTTGAGTATGTCGATAATGCTCCTCTTACTTATGTACGCTGTCTCACTTCCACAAGGGCCAATAAGAGAAGAACATAACAATCATGCAGTGGTATTTATTTTTTTTATTGGTTGGGGTGGTATTGGAGGTGTATTTCAGAATGTTATGCTCCCATTGATGTTTGAGTTTGGGACAGAATTAACTTTTCCCGTATCGCAGACTATAACCGCCGCTATGACGATTTGGACTGGTAATGCAGCGAGTTTTATCTTTACTGAAGTGTTTAGTTTCGTCTTGGGATTGCGACCCTCCATACGTGAGGCTTTCATCTCTTGGTGTATTGTCATTGTACTCACCTTACTTGGAGGATTGAGTCTTCTTGCTGTTTACCCATACCGTTTACGAGAGAAGCACATGGCGAATCTTGCCATGTTGGGTGTTGAAACACGGCGTGCGAGTCGTAATTCCATTTTTGATAGATGTGAGTCCTTACAGTGAAAAAGGGGGGACTGTTTTTTTGTTTCTTTTTTTGCTTTTTTTTGTTTTTGTGATCCTCTCTCTCTCTCTCTCACTCTTTCTTGTACTTTTTAGATGACCAGAAGACGTGATTTAGTCCTCTTGATATGAGTATGGAGACAGATTTTGTTACGTCAAAGGGGGTTGAATAATATTATGTAAAAATAAACAACAATATTGTTTGCTTAAATTATTATTATCTCCAGTTCTCATGGTGCCGATTCAAAATAATAATAATAATAATAATAATAAAAATAATCTTATCGATATTCTCATTTGCCTTCTTCTTCTATGTGCGATTGATCCGTTTTCCCTTTTTTGGGTTCTTCCTTACAGGGTGAAAAAAAAAGAAAAAAAAAATTCACATCTACTTATTGATCTTTTACAACCATTTTTTTTTTTTCTTTTTCTCTATACGTTTCTTATTTTATCGCTGCGGGAAAGAATAAAGAGGCACATTTTTCTGCGTTTCCAAGTATATTATCTTTGGTCTAAAGAAATGTCAGAGCCAGATAATAACGGAATCAAGACGGAAGTTCCTATTACCAATCGGCAGGGTAATGAGTCAACGAGAGATGGATTTTTGGAACCCAACCACTCGGATTGCTTACAAACAGAAGCTTCGAATGCCAATAATAACAATGGTGCCCGTGCATGTACATGTGGCTGTGGCTGTACGGGAGATTTTCGTACAAAGCTTGCGGATCCTGGTCCTCTTGGATTTATTGCTTTCGGTATGACGACACTTCTCTTTAATATAAGTAACGCAGAATTGTGCCCGATGAACACCACAACGGCGGGAATGGTGTTGTGTTATGGTGGCAGCACGCAAGTACTCGCAGGCATCATGGAGTTTGTTCGCGGTAACACTTTTGGCTGCACGATCAGTACAACGTTCGGGGCATTTTGGTTGGCCACCGCGTGTATGTGGTTGTTACCACGACAAACAGAGCAGACACCGTATGAATACTTGGTGGAAGCACAGTCGGATTTTTTGGGTGCATTCTTCTTAATGTGGGCTGTGTTTGCGTATGTGATGTGTGCCTCCGCGCTTCGACAACCTCTTGTGCTTGTGTTTGTCATCTTTACAGCCGGTTTTAATTTCACCTTACAGTGTATTTCCTTCTGGTCACGCAGTCAAACCTTGGCGCGTGTAGCTGGATTTGAAGGTATGGTTTGTGGTGCCTCAGCGATGTACGCTGGACTCGCATTGACAGTGAATGACAGCTACAATTCTATAATTCTTCCGTTACTCCACCATACCCGTGGTCGCATCCATTTAAAGAAAAAGTAAATTAAAAAAGTTCTGTGAAAACGGAATAGCAGAACCAAAGGCAAAATTATCAATCATACGTAACATGTAATGCATGAGAAACCATAATAGACCATGTTTGAATTTCTAAGGTATTAAAAAGAAAAAAAAAAGTGGAAAGTTGTCCATTTTACAATGACAATATCTTTAAAAAAAATTATTTAATAGATTAAATGAGTAAAGGGCAACGCCATTTCTGTATGAAAAATTACTTAGGGGGAAGGGATGGATTTTGATTTATTTTAAACTACCTGCGTTTGTATAGAAACAATGTTCTTGGTACTTCTCTGCCTTAATGGGCAGGAGTGTCAAAGGAGGCGAAAAAGAATGCACGCACTGAAAAATCAAAAATCAGAAAAAAACAACGGCAAAACGTTATGTACTTTGTGATGAAAAGAAAAGCAAGCAATATTGACTGTAGAAAAGTCAAGTTTAGCCTTTTTTTTTTTTTTTTTTTTTTTTTTTTTTTTTTTCTTTTCTTT